GCCCTAGGTGAGGCCAGACAATAAACTTTTGGGACAGTGGCTCGACTACAAAGATTGTCGTGGTAGTGAACGAGAAGTTGTAATGCAACACGCCTATGTGTATTTAGTTGCCCCAACAATTAGCATTTGGAGATCAACTAGTGTCACTGGAATGGAACAAATGCTCTTTATTTCTATGATAATTAGGGTTGCATAAAAGGAGCTCTCTCCATCGTGATCGCCAGGTTTTCCTATTTACATGGTGGATGAGAGAGGATGAAGACATTATAATTCTACCCTTGTCTTTTGCGGATTTACAGGAGGGTATCCTAGCCATATCCCCTCAGGTGGAGCATCTAAATTGAATATTGGCTCAGCTCCGTGGAGGAATTTATTCCCATCCCTCTTCTCCACCGTGGTAGAGACTCTTGGCAATACACCACAAGGGAAGTTTCAAATTGTGTCGTGAAGGGATCCCAACTATTCGTCATACATCTCGAAGTATAAAGTTCAGGACAAATAGAGCATTGCAATAAGCAAGATGACAAAATGTAGAAAGTAAAATATGAAGCAATATGACAAGAAACCATCATTTTATCCCTAGTGGAAACAATACAATACGTGTCTTGTCGATATAGATCACCATAAGATTAGAAACCTCTACAATGCACCACTCCCTCTGAACAAATAACAATCAAACTTGGCCCAATATGAAAGATGGATCAGAGAGCACACAAAGCTAGTCAATTATACAACAAAGAAATTCAAAAGATTTAGTTGATTTTAAGGTAGAACATAAGTAACAAGTAATGATAGTTTTGGTATTTTCGAAAATAAATTGGCAAGCAAAGATGCAAGCTAACAAATAAATAAAAAGTAACTAGGCAAGATAGGTAACAAGAATGCAGAGTGATAGTGTGTAGGACATGTTTGTTCGAGGAGAAACTCCCTGGCAACGACACTAGGAATGTTGCTTGCTCTCTTTTAAGAGTGTCTGGGTAACGCCCAAGTGTAAGTGTGAAGTAACCTAGCAATAAGTATTTTCCTCGATTTGAGAACCATGGTTTATCAAACCAAAAATAGTTCTTCTAACAAACAAAGTCACTAGTACCTGCACACGAAACTCAAAAAATCTTGTAACCAACATGTCAAGAAGGTTGTGAGGCTTCTTGTCTTGCTAGTTACAAGATTAAAATACACAGGATGATGGTAATTGATAAAAAGGTAAAATAAAAGAGAAGGTATAGCAAAAAATAATATTTTTGTGGAAGTTTTGAGTAATTGAGAATAGACCTAGGGGGCAATAGGGTTCACTAGTAGCATCTCTCATAAACATATATAACAATGTAGTGTGGTGAACAAATTACAGTTGAGCAGCGATTAAATTGCAATGTTTATATTTATGACTATGATCATTCATGGCATAATGTCATATAGGCATTACGCCGTGATATGCAGACCATTATCCAACTGCACCTACAACTAATACTCCACTCCAAGACCGATATCCATCATGCATCCCGAAGTATAAAGTTCATGACAAATAGAGCATTGCAATAAGCAAGATGACGCAATGTAGACAGCAAAATACCAAGTAATATGACAGGAAACCATCATTTTATCTTTAGTGGCAACAATATAATACTTGTCTTGTTATGGACCACCACAAGATTAGAACCCTCTACAATGCACCACTTCCTTCGAAGAAATACCCATCAAACATGGCCGAAGAAGATAGATGGATCTGAGAGCATACAAAGCCTTTTTATTTTACAACAAAGAAACTTCAAAAGATTCAATTGATTCTAATGAGCAATCTGATCATAAAGTGAAAATTCATCATATCCCAACAAACATACTACTGATTACATCTAATTGATCCCGATCATGTGAGGAAGCTCACGGGAACTTTGTATGGAAGAGAGAGAGAGAGAGTGAGTGAGAGAGACCTTAATTAAGGTCCTAACGGAACTACTCCCACATAGTCATGGAGATAACAAGGTCGGTAAAGAAACCTCCCATGTTGGATTCCCCCTTCAGCAGAGTGCCGGAACATGCCTCCATATTGGATATCTCTGTATAGAAACTTGAGACAACAGAAAAATCAAAGAAAAATTGTGAGATGGTTTCATAATATATGAAATTTATAGGTGGAAGAATGAGTTTAAGGCAGTGCACAGAGGCCCCACATGGCCTTGGGGAGCGGGCAAGGCCATAGCCACGACCCATGCCCATGTGGATTCCTTATGGGTCCTCTTGTCTGCCTCTACTTCTTTCTGGAACAACATAATGCCTCGAAAAAACTTATTAAATCCTAAGGTTTTTTTTACCTCCATAGATATTGATTTTCTGAAATGTCAAAAACATGCAGAAAATAACAAGGGCACTGGATTAATAGGTTTATCCGGAATAATTATATAAATTAGTATAAAAAGTTATATTGTAATAGCATGAAACAATCGAAAATTATAATAGTATGAGATGTATCAAAGGGTCAACTTTTTCTTTTGCGGGGGTATCAATGGGTCAACTTGGATAGCACATTTTGATCATAGTTGTATCTAATCTTCTATTTACTTCCCCAACTACTATTCTGGTCCTGTTTTTAGCATGATACCCTCCGCGACATTGAACTAGAGAGTTTATACGTATGAGATGCAATATACTTGGATCAAATGATGTAAGAAAGACCATTCATCCACATGGTTTTGTATTTCGTTCTAAAATTACATTTTTTGATGAATTTATTCTGTTGTTGACACTAGAAAAAGTCATTATGTCAAACCACTTTGGAGATTGGAACTTTTTACTTTGATGTTTCACCAACTCTAGATTCAGCTTCCCTTGCGGAATTTTACCAGATTTCATTTATTGAAAAAAGAAGAGTGAAATGCATCTGAGGTCTCATACGTCATAACTCTTTGAGGGGTGTCAAGTTAGTCCTAAAACGTCAAAAGTGCATATTTTGGAAATAAAGTTTGGTATGTTGTGCAGGTTCGATCCTAACTACATGGGCAAAGTTTGACATGCTCATGTGGCATGTTGCAGTTGACATGTCGATACATTTCCCACCAAGGACAACTGAATAAATGAACATTTTGCATAAAGGACCCATAGTATATCTCTTCTTCTCACTTCTGATACTTCTCTCATTGTTGTCCTGTACTTTTTTGTAGGGGCTATTTGTAAGTTGCTGGAACCGAACTTTGTGTAAGTTAATTTCTTGGAGAAGAAGGGGCCCCACACGAGGAGCTCCGACGCCTCGGCGGAGGAGTGAGAGGGGGTCTCCAATCCATAGTCACGACCTCCCTCACATAATCCTCCCCTAATTAATATCATTATTAGCATACCCAATATCCATACTAGCACCAACCAATTAATTATATCCTGCCTAATATCAACATGCAATCAATATCCTATGAAATACTAGTGTGCAACATAATTTATCTATTGTCTAATGTTAACATGCATTGCAGGCACACAATTAATGTGCAATGCAATATATATTATATAATATTAAAATGCATTGCAGGCGCACAATAAATGTGCAATGCAATATATATTACATCATATTAAAATGCATTGCAGGCAAACAATTATGTGCAATGCAATATATAATGCCTAATATTAATGTGCATTAATGCACATACACAATTACAATTCAATTTCGAGGGTTGCAATTAAGCCACATATCACATTGGATGAACAACACAATTAATGTGCAATGCAATAGATATTGCCTAATATTAACATGCATTAATGCACACACACAATTGCTGGTCATTTTGAGGGGTTGCAATTAAACAATGGTTTGGATGACCAACACAATTAATCATTTTAGAGAAAAAAAGCAAAATTGCTCACACGGAACATAAAATACTAAAACGGACGACGTCGTGCAAAAAAAAGGATTGCTTAGCGAGCGGTGCGACGTCAGATAGAGGCAGGAAACCAACGGGATATATTCGCGAAGACGAGAGTAACTGGTAATCAAACGCTTTAGCCTGGCGAGGGGCCCACACACGTATTCTGTGGAGCACATCGCCTACATATATACCCCAGGAACACGCCGTGGATACCAGTACACCACCCGCCCTCTGTCCTCTCCATCTCCTCGCCAAGGATCCCTTCCCCACTCGACTCAAAGTCGAAACTCGCGTTTCAGCCGTTTCATTCTCGCCGAGATCGCCATTCCTTCTACCCTGAAGAAAGAACTCAATTCCTCCCCTCCTCTCGATCACTAGCCTTCCCTCCTCTCGCTAGCCTGAAGCCCTCCCCTCCTCCCGTCGGCCATGGAGAATGACCAGCACCCCGATGGCGACCAGCCTAACCGGCCGCCACCACCCCATCAGCTTCCGGACGATATGCTCCGAAATATCTTCCACCGCCTCCCGTCGGATCCCAGCGCCCTCGCTGTCGTCTCCTCGTCCTACAATGCCTGGCGGCGCGTCGTCCATGACGAGGAGAACTTCCTCTGCTCCTTCCGTGCGGCACACCACGGCATACCACCACTCATCGGCTTCTACTCCGACCCCTTCTATGGAGTTCTACAATTCACCCCGACCACGCCTCCTACCCCGCCGTGGCCCCCCGCGCCCCACGGGTTCCAAGTCTACGGTTGCACGCATGGTCGTCTGCTCCTCGGCGGCAGAGACGGCGACCGTGCCCTCCTACTTGTCCGAGATCCTCTGACCGGGGAGGAGCACTCCATCCCGCCGGCGCCTGGCCTTCTCCCCGGGCAGAGCTGCGGCGCGGCGCTGATCTGCGACGCCAACCATGCTAAGGGCGAGGACTGCCACTCATCGCCGTTCCGCGTCGTCTTTGCATATAGCGAGGACTATCCACCCAGCAGCTGGCACCCGCCCATGGCTCTCGTCAGCACCTTCGCCTGGGTGTACAGCTCAAAGAAAAGAAGCTGGGGTGGCCGCCCGGCGGCGACCATGGGCGTCAAATGCTACTTCGATCCGAAGCCGAGCGTCGTGGTTGGCAAAGGTGCCGCCGTGGCCGTGAGCTGGATGACGATGGCAGCTGGGGAGGGCAATACAATGCAAGACCTACTCCTAGAATTCCACCTCGACACACGAACTCTACAACTCACACATATACCAGATGCATTACGCGGCGACCACTTTGTTCTCGCGCCGCCGACCATGGAGGACACGAGGGTCGGCATCGCCGGCGTGATTGAGAACTGTATGGTGTTACTTTCCAGGGTGAATGGCGTTGAAGGCTGGATTCCGCGTATCGTAGCTAGACTAGACAATTTCCTGTCCGCTGGTCCTGCTGAGAATGGTGGCATTGGGCTTCTGCCTTTTGAGATGGGGTACGGTGATGAGGAGGAAGATGAACTGGCAGATGACTGGACTGAGCCACGGGTGATCGGGGTCTCGGAGGAAGGGGGCACCATTTTCTTGCAGACGGAGATGGGTATTTTCGTGATAAACTCAGAGTCTGGGCAGCATAAGCGAGTTCTTCAAGCGGATCAGTCTTTCTGGGGTGTTTATCCCTACTCCACCTTCTATACTGCAGGTACGAAATTAATAGCTATATGCAAAGTTTCTCATATCTCACCATATATCTCCATAAATTAATAGTATCTTTTTGCGGGGCCATGATTTAATTAATAGTATTGATTAGCAAGTCTTCCATTTGCGGGGCCATAAATTAATAGTATTGATTAACAGTATGGACTTTCGCAGCATGACATATATATGTCTACTAGAAATTTAAGCATAGTGCTTCTATGTAATTTTAATTATCTGAAAGTGTCGAATCCGGGTATAAGTGATTTTATCTGAAAGCAGTGAAAGGCCGAACATTGTTATGATTGTCGCAAAAAGATGTAGTGTCATACTCGCAATTATAATTACAAATTTGCGAACGTTGCTACATGATTTAAACTTGTTCCACTCACTATGTTTGTATTGGCCTCCAAAACTTATCTTTGATACATCTATCCATCGAGAATCATGAGTGTAGCTACTGCGATTTATATCCCAACAACTTGTTCCACTCACTAAATTGCTTGTGGTAGTCTGTTATTTAAGGTTATCTTGTACAAAACAAATTCTTATACTGTGTATGAATACTTGGTTTGTGTAAATGATGCGATCATGGACAAAGATAATTATTCTGAGGGAGTAACTGGTAACTAAAAGTAATAACTAATGTGTACTCTTAACTCTCGACTGTACATATATCTTCTTGTATTAAATATTTTTTTGTAAACATGAGATGATTTTATCATTGGTGACATAGTTCCATAGATATAGTTTAGAGAAAGAAATATGTGACCATATAATGGATTCAAATTATATACATATGCTATATAGGAATCTAGAAAAGATATGAAACACATATGCCAATTTCAATACATTGGAGAAACACACATCTTATTCTTGCGTGCTGCACCGTTTAAAATTAGAGAAAACTGTGGTTTCTTTATACATTTGGAAATCGATTCCAAAATGTCACATAAATCAGCCAAGGCTTAATTAGAAGTTTATAGATATGGTGAAAATGATTGTTAGGGTTTGAAATAAACATTCACCGTAGGACCTCCTCAGTTTATGTGTACCTACAAGTGTACATGTATACTCATGTGTGTGTATATGATGCATGTATACACATTTGACTCTTTCAGTTCAACTCCTTCAACTATATATTTTACCATCACAACATTTATATATAATCCTCGTCAAGTATATCTACTGATATTTTATTGGGCCTTGTATCTTCATGTTTATTCATGCAGCTGGAAAAGCAGTTTTTCATGATGTACAACAGGACCAACAGAACAACAATATAAAATCAGGTCAGCATGCATCTCAAGTGTGTTATTCCTTATGATGAGCTCAAAGATGTTACTACAAGTTATCGTAGGGGGTTTGTTGAACTGCTATGCAGTCTGTGATAGGATTAACTGCAGAGCTAGTAATGGCTAGGTAACTTCATCGACTTAAATCATATATTAATTAAACAAACTAGTGGTGGGAGCTTTGACCTTATAAATCAAGCTTTGTTATACATTTCAGATGGTATAGACACTGACGAGCTACTGTTACCTATCAGTATAGGTTGTCTTATCTTTACACATCTTTTTTTCATTTATATTGACGGTGATATTGTGCTAAAGTAAATCATGTCATGCAAAGAATTTGTACACTTGTTTGGATAAGTATTATGTATGTGTATTTCTTGCTTGTTTTCCAGATGCTTCCATCCTTAATTTGGTATTCTTATATTTCTTGTAGATGGAGAAATCAGTGCTCTAGGTGAAAGTAGCGGTGGCGGTGCTGACTAGTTTTTGTTCAATAAAGAGGTGATGACTGATTGTACCTTTTTTGTAATTTGAATGTTTCCTATGACCTAATCTTGAAATAAGTTGATGTAGTTGTCATTTTTATTTTAATGAAGGATCACTTGCTACAATATTTTGTAGGGGTACCTCTCAATAAGTTGAGTTACAGGTTAGCTTTATTGTAGAGTATCTCGGCGCAAGTGCACTTCAATCATTATCCCAATAAAATATTTTCATCAATTTATGAAGGTGAAACATTTGCGGGAAATGAATTTCCTTTCTTGGCCTTGTAGCCATCATATTTCTTGATCGCAGAGTGTTTCTTTCCGCCAATGATGTATATAATTTTGGATTGTCGAAATATATTTAACCGGTTGGATTAAGGAGTGTGAATACAAACGGTAGTCTTCACCATGCTTACTATCTTAGGATTTATACAGTTTTATTGATACTAACAAGATATTTATTTATTTTTAGGTACCAAATGGCTTCTAAGGTGATTTGATATAATGGACATATGATTGCTTGAGTGTCAATTGAACTTGTCCAACAAAATATAGTTTTTCTTCTATGCCCATAATTGTTTCTCCTATTTACTGAATAGGATCTGTGTTATCCTTGACGATTTTCCTTACCTATGGTCCCTAATATTCCTGGGATATTATACCTGCAAGAAGTGAACTTTAAACATTTTGGATTAAGATATTTATTTGCAATGTATTGTGACATAAAACAAATATGTTAAATTCGTGGTATGGAATTTATATGTGACAAGAAATATGTAGCATTTGTTTTGATACCCTTGTACGTGTATCTTGCTACCAAACATCTCCTAGGCTGATCAAAATTATAATTATCTTTCTCCCGCAAAAAAATATTACAATTATATTTGGTCTGCTAACGATCTGCATATTACAACAACTATCTATTGAAATATAGGGTGGGATGTAGGCCCATCCAAAATTTTCCGAAAAGTCACTAAAGGCACATATAGGTGACATGACAAGGGAAGTAGCGGAAGTTTAGTACCATCCGGGATTCGGAGAAAGAGTTGGACATCGAGTGCTTGCGCTTAATTTTTGCTGGTTGGGAACGGAGCTTGCGCTTAACTTTTGCTGGTTAGAAACGGAGAGTGCTTAACAGACGAGTCATGATCTTTTTTGTCGGGAGTACGCGAAAGCGTACCATATTTTTATAGAAGGAAGAATCTCAAGTACAAGAAGACTACAACTTGTTGCAAACAACGAGCGTAGACAACACGAACTTCGACCGGAAGACAACACCACCTCCGACAAAACAACTACAAATCAAAAAAAGAGCTTGTCAAAAATTGAGCAACATCGCCGCGTCTCGATCAACGCTGGTCACCTCCAAGACCACACCAACTCCGACTCAACTTCCCTTGTCGATGCACCATCCACCCTTGATGCGAAAAAGGAGGTGGCAAGTAGATGGCGGAACTCCGTCGGTTCACTAAAGCCACCGTCTTGGACTCACGGGCGATGACGTACATTGCGCCACTGAAGATCACCTTGGACAACGACGAGCACCTGAAGTAGCGCCACATGGAACCTCAAGACCGTGTCATCAAGCGCGGTGAACCCAACAGAGTAGCGACGTTAAGAACGCCGCCATCGCGCTGGTTGAACTCCAAACCTAGGCTTTCGCCCGAAGACTGCAACCATCTAAGACGAGCCACGATCTAAAACGTCAAATAGTGGGCTATTACCGACTCGAACGTGGGTCCAGCGCACGTCTCTCCACCCGGCCGCACCTATATATTGGAGGCGCCATGATGAATAGATCACATCTGCTCTGCCTCCACGCACACTGCCCACCGTCGTTCCATTCCTTGCTGCTGCCACTGGTGATCCTATCACATCCACCGTGTAATCGGTTGACGGGAGAGCAGGCCTCCGAACCCTGCCTCTCAAGATCATGTACGGGAGATGACAGATTAAGGTTTTTGGGGAGGGTATCTTACGCGACTAACTCGCTGCCATTCATCTACATCCACTACTTCGTCCACGTCGTCGTTGCCTCTGCCATCACCAAGAGCCAGCAATCCGAAACCGACAAGAAGGCTACCGAGGACAAGGCTGTCGAAGAGGCTGCCACTGCCACCGTTGCGGCCAACGCTTGGCGGACTGGAGGGTATAACTCATTTATTCCGCTTCTATTTATTTATGTTCTAGCAATACTAGCTACATACGTAAATGTTCCTACTATATGATTAGTACATGCGTACGTGGTTAGAAATCATTATGTGATTGATACTGCCCAAGTCATGTTTGTGATCTATTTCTAGATAAGATTAATAAAAAAATGCTACTTTTCTTAACACTATCCATCTAAAAGATAGGATTTAGGTCACAGATTTTGGATATGGCATCGACCGGCTCCCTTAAATGTCAGCATAAATACTATGTAGTAATTGTTTCGATACCATGATATCTGTATCTAGCTACTACAATACTATGTCCTAGGCTGATCGGATATTATATTTATCTTTAGTCTAGCTAGTCCATGAATACGTGCTAGTGCTCCCTCATAATCTATGTAATATTAGTTGATGGCATGACCACATTTAGATTTGCATGATTCCTCT